ATCCTGTTGTTTTTTCAAACATCTCTTTTTGTGATCTTTTATCCCCCTTACCCACTCCCCTAACACAGGATGCATATCCAGCCGGTCCGAGAATCGGCTAACCTCCCTACCTTTTTTTTCTCCTTATCCCCCTCATGTAATAAGAGCCATAGATTCAGTGGTTTGAATAAGTACCATTCTAATGAAGTGACGGAAATATAACTGTCGCATACTGGCGTGCCGACGCAGCGACGACAGTGAAGTGGAGGTAGATTGGATGTGGCACACCCGGGTCATCAAATTAATCAGTTGGTTGTCGTGTTCCGATGTAGCGGGATCCTTCTTACTTTCGCCTCTCCGCTAAAATGGCAATTCCCGACAATGGAGTAGAATTACAGAAGCTTTCACTGGGCACTCGCACCCAGCTGACCAGCCCCGGACTTGCCTACCAGCATGGCACGATGATCAGTGGTGACGACCACGGCGCCCTCCATCCTGCTACCGCCGGAATCACCGGAATTTCGGCCAAGCAGTTCAGCCATCTGGCTACTCAAGATGGAGACTGGCTTATACCTGCAAAACATTGTCTTGCAGCTGAAGAGGCACGCCATCACGGTAATCGTGCTTCCTTCTGCTCTGCGATGCGTCATGCCTCCTCCTGTGCCGGAGGCATACGACCGAATCAGAGGTTCCGTGCTAGGCCTTCCTCAACTGACAGTGAAACGTCACTTACTCCTTGCCGTGCTAAACGTCAGCTTCGAAACTCCAGCCGTCATTACCTCATAGCGCCTACAAGCCCAGTAAAATCATGTTCCGCGAAGTTTTGGCGCTTCAGCATCAGCCACTTCGCAGGCGACCACGCAGTCATTTCAGGGCATGGTTTTTTGACGAAGCACTCTTGACGATTCTGAGCACCTCACGCGCCAAAACTGCGATACCCACGCTGCTTAGTGGGGCAGCACCGGCATCATTCAATGTGCCAACGCCAGTGGCCAAACATGAAGCCACCGATGCTACGGAACCCCGCCAAGTGCACGGTCGACACAATCGTCAGACGCCTCGAGTATCCGTCAGCTACTAAGAGAAGCATTACCTGACGAGACAATTGCCAGCGCTGCCGTAAGCTCGCCATAACGTACGTGCCGTCAGCCAGCCACATCACCTGATGCCCCCCTGTTTGCACAAAAGCTCGACGGAGGTGCAAAGCTCTCCGAAATAGGCAAGCCCACTTTACCGGGCTCCACCACCGCCGCAAAAGCTCCTCCCGCAGGTCAAGAACAACACGAGCTTTCTAGTCAGTGTGGGTCAACATCAGCAGCGTTCTTTCCACTCTGTCACCCCTCTTGCCTGTGCTCCAATCGACGCGACCCATTTCATAGCAAGCCGGGTCATACTTCCGCACATACGCACAGACCCATACAACAATAACGCATTCATGTGCTCACCCAACAGCTCACACCGACAAATCTTCGACACCAGATCATGACCAGCCTTAAGAACTATATAACCTGGGACATGGAAGCCTCATTTCACTTCATCGATTAAAACAGTCCCGTGCGCTACCGGACGTGCGTGCCACGTCAGCCCCGACCCCCTGATGAAAGTTGAGCACCCTTTAGCCACTCTGCCTTAGTAACCAGGACTGTCACATGGAATTACCTTGACTGCGACTCTGTCTATACACCGGGGGCTCTTACACATGATCGCCTGACGACGCAGCAACGACAAGCAACGACAACGAAGTGGACGTAAGCGCGAAGCGGCATGGGCGGAACAAGGAATAAGTCAGTTGGTTTTTGTGTACCTATGTCGCAGCATCCTTCTTCCTTTACGTCTCCGCTACAGAACAAACCAGCGAAACGATGCCACAGTTTGCTGAACATTCACAGACACTTGTTTTTTTTTATGATACAGCCTTTCAAATGTGTTAATTGCAGCCGGCGAGTTTGTAGTTCAGTTTAAAGCAACCAAAATTGTAACGCTGACCATGGTACGACGTGTGCAAATGTGAACATCCAGCTACGAGAGCTACGCCTCACAAACACAAAGAATCAATACACAACGTAGTTACAACATACAACCGTACCTCGATCGACTTTCACAATGTAAGAAGACAGCGAACAATCATTTTCACAGCCGTTTCAAGGATGCGCCGCGTTATTTACGGATTCAGGTAGCCCAAGCAAACAATTTTAAGAATTCACACAATGAAAACGTAAAGCGAGACGGAGCCAGAGCTCACTTTCTTCTTTGAAATATGGTGGTTCATGCTTGTGTCCTTTCTCTCTCGTGCGAATTGTCCAGGAACCGAAAGTCCAAAAGGTGTATCATGTGCCTCGTTACTGTCGGCACTGTCATGGCACACAACAATACTTCGAACCTCGCTTCCACTTTTGTGGGTTCCCTTGTACCATCACGGAAATGCAGCTTCGCAAAGCAAGCCCTTCGGTTCAGCGTGTGAAGACAGCTGGCCAAGATCCCTGCACAGCGCCTAAGCTCCCCAGACCGAGCGAAAAACGCACGTGCACGCGTGCGCCGCTGTCGGTGTAACAGAATGAATCAGCCACGCCTTCTGGCCTGCTTGTCTCCAATTTCCCTAGAGCTAGCTGCTAGAGCCGCAGCAGAGTTGTCACACAACAATCTTGAGGTGGGATCCCTATATTGCCACGAAGCGTGATGCAGGCACCAAGATTCATGTATTCTCGCTGAATATTTTATTATCGCATTACTTATGTGGGCAACGTTCAGTTTCACTTTCAGGACGCCAAGTAAGGCTGTGACGTAGCAGTGTAGGTGGCATGATGACGTGGCCACACAAAGTTGTGAGGCACGTCGTGTTGAGTATCGACTCCTCTTGCACACATGTACCACACAAGCACCAACAAATTAAATTTGCCGACAGTTGCAATGGCTAGCTCCAACTGATGCGAGTGATGCAGCAACCATTGCTTTGCCGGCAGTTACGTCACGCAGGTCCAAAGGTGACATACGTCAGTACAGCTCTGATGTGACGTCACTAAAACTTTCATCTCCCGTCCCATCAGCTATGCCAGTGTTGGACACGCAGGAAATGGGTCTCGATAGAGAGAATGAGCATTCATGTATAGTTAGGAAGTGAATTAAAATATATGCCAAGCGTTTGCTGTGTCCGACCATTCGTGTAGAGTGTGGGTACATGTAGAGAAAACCTACCACTGACTTCTTAAAGCCTCAAGATTTGCTCGCACCACTTCTTTAAGCGAGTACTATGGAACGCATGCTCAATGCATGCTAATTAAAAGGTCACCTAGCCGCTCTTAAAATTTGACGAGCGATGGGCCCCAAGTGTTACGTAACAATGGGTAAATTTTCAAAAGCCGGTCAGAACCAAAGCCAGGAAATGCGGAGATCGCTATGGAGGTGGCAAAACATTGACTTGCTATGCTGTAGTCGAGCGTGTAGGCATGCATAAGCTGGCTAATTACAACAAAAATCATTTCAGAAAAATACTTGCTAAAACTTAAAGTGGGAATAATTCACGCCCTTACACACCACTCCCAACATACTCTGCATAGGACCCTATGTACACTATTGTTTTCAGTCATTGTGTGGGATAATCTTTTAGTATTGTCTGTGGTATGCGGCGAAAACATGACGCCGAGCATGGTGCTCTTTCGGCCATAAGGCGAACCCCTCAGGCGTATTTGTCAATTTTCTAGGTGTATAGCGAAGTGGTGTGGTTTTCATCTCGCTCACCAGACATTTTGTGTAATCTGCGGAACGTTAGTTTCGCCTAGAAGAGCAGGCAACTGTAGGCAGACATGCATATTTTAGGAAATTATGTTCGGTTTGTACCTATGACGGTGAGGAACAATAAACTTTTTCGAGCGCAGAACTCCACTTTTTGCGGGAAACAGAGTTTTATTGAACAAATTGTGAAATCTTTTGCAGAAAATGATTTTCTCGCAACACACAAAATTGCCAGTTTTAGTTCAAAAAGTAATAAGTGGTCATCTCATGTGACCACCATGCCATCAAAGTTGACGGCTCACTTTTGCCCTGCCGCGGTGGTCTAGTGGCTAAGGTACTCGGCTGCTGATTCGCAGGTCACGAGTTTGCATCCCGGCTGCGGTGGCTGCAATTCCGATGGAGGCAGTAATGTTGTACTCCCGTGTGCTCAGATTTGAATGCACCTTAAAGAACCCCAGGTGGTCAAAATTTCTGGAGCCCTCCACTAAGACGTCTCTCATAATCATATGGTGGTTTTGGGACGTTAAACTCCACATATAAATCAATCAATCAAATCAACTGGTCAATTTCGGGGAAAGCGCAACTCTTCATTTCTATATTCCTCAGCATTAGCTACTCATACGCCAGGCTCTCCTGCACTATCAACATATTAAGAACAGCACATACTTTTACATCTATAAAATATCTCGGGTCTGCCGGGCCTTGAGCACGGCATCAGCCGGAAGAAACCAAATGTAACAAGTCCCGTTGAAGCCCAAAGGAAGGAGCGTCACCTTTGTCATATTACAGGAAGCTTTAAAATACGCCCCATTTAAAACATTCCACGCGGAGCTCAGGTGTCTCGCGAGGCAAAAATGAGGAAATGGTGGTTACCTGGGATGACCACAGTGCCATAAAGAGTTAACAAAGTTGCGCAATCACATTTTTATGGAAATATTATTTACTACCTTGTTTTAAGGCACCCAGCCTACGAGATTTCAGCCAAAACTTCTTAATGGGCAGTGATTGGTAACATTCACCGCTACCCGCGCGCCCCGGCAATAAATAAATGATTATTATATTTGTAAGTTTTTTGTTACTCTCGGGGTCCCAAGCCACTACATAAAATAAACGCCTTCGGGTTTTATCAAACGTTGTTTCTGCGAAGTTTTCAAGATTTAGTCCACAATGCTTTTCTACATAATTATAATTACTAAGAAAGTACGCCAGTAATTTTTTTAATGGGTACATTTGTGAGCGCGTGCACTGTACACACCGTCAAACAATCGTTGCTTTCTTCATTTTTATTCCAGAAATGACTGGCAAGTGCGTGCTCTCGGCTTTCATTCTATTTGCCGTTCTGGCTACCACAAATTCAAGTAAGTGTTCTGAAAACGTAATCTCCTAGTTATAAGAGCACGACAACTACAAACTACTAAACGCAAGTCCAGGTACATCATTTTATTTGAACAAATCTTCACGGTGGTTTGGTGTTCAGTTGCTTATTTTCTGTATGTTTCTGTCACGTCACACGACGCATTATCACATGAAAGCCTGGACTCTGTTCAGCTCGGCTATAAGTTAATAACACTAGATGTACTGCCCTTCCCACAGCCCTAAATGGCGGGCAGCTCTCATGCAAAAGACAGGCAAGCCGAAAATTACCAATTAGCATGATCTTGAACAACAAGAGAGGAGAACACAGTCACGCGTGGCTGAAAGCCTTGGATTTAGGGTTCCTCCAACAACCCGTAGACTCCTAAGACTTTTCCGATGGCTGCGTGACGTTACCCTGTGGGCCCGTGCGGGCGCTGCGTTCCGGTATTCCGGAGCGTCGCGATCGCTTCTACTGGTGCTTTAATGGTCTGTGATGGGTGCGAAATACTATGTCATCTATTTTAGAAGCTCTGTCGGGCACAAGTGAAGCATTCTGAAGGTAGTTTCACTCTCATAAGAAAACACCACGCGACACAAGATAAGCTTTATTCCGTTACGACATCATTTTTTCTTCAGTGTTGATGATCTCCGTGCTGCGGCCTTCTGCGCATTGTCTTGGATGCTCTCATTTTTCTGCCTGCAGATGTCCAAGACAACATTGGTTGCTCTGTGAACTACCAAGCGCAAGATTGTGCAGAGTGGTCATTTTCACGTGTATCAATGTCGGTTTGTGGTTCCAGCAAAGAAAATGCCAGCCAAGCGACGATACAGCGTTTGTCGCTGTATGAGAAAGAAAGTGTTTGGCTTATACTCACAATGACAATTTCTGCAGAAATAGCTTCGTAACCATAACCATGTCACAGCGCTACCTCAATCACAGCACTTGGAACAGCGCTACCAAAATGAAGCGATTGGAGTTGCGCTCCATTCAAAACAACAGCAAGTGGGAGATCTGGGAGAAGAGTCACTGAGCATTTGACGTAAGGAGAAGGATTGTGTTCTATGAGAGCAAACTGTATGCATTCGTCACTGGTAGGTAATCTCCAAAAATATTCCAAATCCCTGACCGCTTCGTCTTGAAGTTAATGTATGAAGACACCTTGTTTCTTTTGGATGCAGAGCATCACTTGCTCGGGTCTATGTCCCGCGACGTCAGCGTCCACACTCACACTACGCATGCGCAACTCTCATCCTTCCCTCTTTCCAACAGCTGCGCGTTACTCTCTCCTCTTTTCTGCTACCGCACCTGCTTGAACTTCTCCTGCGTTCTCGCTTCTGCTCTCGCGGTGAATGCGCTACTCTCTTCGTCTAGTCTCCTCTTCTTCAGGTGTGAATATAAAGAGGGGCGCAGAGCGCTGCGCGCGTTCAGTGCACCCGTGGAGGAACGAATAAACTGAGGAGAGGCCGCTACGTCACATTTTGGGAAGCCGGAAGTAGGAAAGAGCACAGGACTCCTCCTCTCAATAGGTGACCAGTAAAAGAGCGAGGGGTTGTGAGATGCACCGCCTGCTACTGGCTTCCAGTTCGAAAAGAGCAGGCGACGGCGAACCGTTTCGTCGCAAGCCTCAGATTATTTGTTATTCGCACGCGCGGTCGCCTGTTATTCTTCGTCCTGAAAAACTACGGATGGTTTTTTAGCCGTTCTCGGGCGTGAAAGCTCCATCTCGGGCGTGAAAAGCAAACGGCGTGTATCGATTTTCGTGAAACGAAGAAAGAAAAACGAGGTGGGCCGCGGCTATGAAAAGAGTTGCAGTGAGAGGTGGCCTTTAAGTACGAAACGTTGAAGCCAGAGGGTGCGAAAACCATTTTATCACAGATACGTGTGTATGCCACACTAACAAAACAAGCTTACGCATGAACTTGCTGCGAATAATATATTGAGAAATAAATTGTCACGCAAGTGCCTAGCAAATATATTGCTACGGTATGAGCCGGGCTGTAGTATGTGCCGGGTAGGTAGAAAAGGAAGACGATGTTGTCTGGTGCGGCTTGAGGACTCCATCTCTACCGCGACTGCTGAACTTCATCCTCACCCTGTAAATAAGTCCACCTATCCTTTCATTCAACCGTAACAGCTTTGTGGTGGAGGTGCGGGGTAATCAACCAAGAAACACGACGTTTCAAGCGCCTAATCTACGACGAAGCCACCACCTTGCTGGACTGCCCCCATTTCCACTGGCAGCTGAGATGTCTCACGGCGAAGAAGGAAACCGGATCCCCGCAGCTGCAGACCTTCTACCAGTCCCAACAGTACCGCTAGCGCCAGGTTCGTGTGCGGTTGGTCCCTGGTTGCGTCAGGATCTGATAGTGCTTCGCACATTCGGTGGCAAATCTGGCGATGATTTGGACGTGTGGCTCACACACTACAAACGGGTAAGCAAATACTACCAGTGGGACGCGGTGACCCAGCTGACCAATGTAGTATTTTTCTTAACGGACACAGCACTCGTGGGTACCAGAACCATCAAGATGCCCTCACGTCATGGGATTGCTTCGTTTCCGAAATAAGAGCGTGCTTCGGAGACTCCGTAGCTAAGAGAAAGCAGGCGGAACAAACGTTACTGCAGAGAGCTCAGATCCCAGGACAGACGTGCACGACCTATGTCGAGGCAATCTTGAAGCTCTGCAAGATTGTCAACCCTTCTATGTCAGAGGAAGACAAAGTTGGCCGCCTGTTGAAGGGCATTGCCGAGGACGTGTATCAGTTCCTCATCAGCAAAGACAGCCTTCCTACGGTAACCGACGTCATAAGCCACTGTCGCACATTCGAGGCCACGAAGATACGACGTATCACCCCCAAGTTCGGTCGCCTACCGAATGTAACCACCGCGGCAAGTGTTGACGAATACACGCTGCTTGATCTCACGTCGACAATGTGCCAGATCATTCGAGAAGAGCTCACTCGACACGCTCGCCCCACGCCGTACGAAGCTACACTCGCACCGCCTCCCTCTCGCCCTCCCGTGTCAATTGCCGCAGCAGGCACCGATAGCTGCAACTACAAGCCACCCTCACCAACGAAGTCACAGCGCAATAACTACCCGCTGCCGAGGTACGAAGATCGCTTCAGTTACCCCCATCAGCCAGCCACCACCTATTACGACCCGAACGAAGATGTACCTGTACCACCACCACGTCAGCGCAATGCCTTCCAGGAGTACAATGCATACCGCCAAGCTCCTGTGTGCTACCGTTGCGATATCGCCGGACATATAGCTCAGTTCTGTCGTCGACAGATAGAGCCGACATCCCGATATCATTCCCCATCAGAGTTTCCGCCAGCGGGCACTAGTCAGAACAATGGTCATTGGCCTGCCTATTCCAGGAGTACGTCACGGCGGGGAAATCACCGTGGCAGTTCTCCCGCTTCTGACCATAGTTTGACTCCTCCATCTGCCCGACTGCATCGTTCGCCTTCGCCGGGACGACGCCTGTCATCACCGCCGCCGCCTGGAAACTAGCCAGTGCGACCGATTGAGGTAAGGTCGCACAACAAGATTTGCCTCAGATGCCTCCGCCAGTTATAATGTCCGAGAACAAGTTACGTGTGGAAATAGATGGCTTTTGTACAAGTGCTTTGGTGGACACTGGTGCAACGATATCAGTTATGAGTATTTCCTTCAAAAGTCGCATTGGCCGCAAAGTTATGTTTTCTTGGGGCGAATCAACAAGGTTTCGTGGTGTTGGTTGGGAAGTACTTCATCCTGTCGGAGTTTGGGTGTCGATGTCTTATTGGCAGAAAAGGTGTTCCCAACAGTTTCTCGTGCTGCAACGTTGTACCCATGACGTGATTCTCGGTCTTGACTTTCTCCAAGGATGTGGCACTTTCGTCGACTGTGGAATCGGTGAACTTTCCGTCAGTGATGACATTGTTCCTGCCCTCATCGATGAGGCACCGCAGGCCGCGAAGGATGCTCTGATTGTTTCCAATGAGCTGACCGTGCCGCCATGGTCAATGAGGTCAGTTGCGGTGTTCGCCTCAGAATCTGCCACATCTTTAGACGCCATCGTTGAACCTGCCATCGTTCAATGTGCTAAACAAGGCATATTCGTCCCTCCTTGTTTGGTATCTGTCAATGAAGGAGCAACCTTTCTGTGGGCACTGAACTGTTCGCCAATGCCGGTTGTGCTCCCTCGAGGAATGAAGCTTGGCGTCTTCGATGATTCCACTTAAGGTTCTGTAGCTGTCGTTAACAACGATGAAAGCGAGAAAGGTACAGTCTCTGGCCAGTGCAGTTGCTTTTACGAGTCGCAGATCCTAGGCATGATTAGCGCCACTTCGCGGTCACACGAGCAGCATACGTTACGCCATCTGTTGAGGCGACATGATTCTGTTTGAGTTTTGCCAAGAGGAGAAGCCGCTACCTTTACCTTGTTCTCGCGCGAATTACTCAGCAACCGGCGCGCGTTATTTACTGGTTGTACCTCAAAGTCTTCGATGCGACGTTCTCCGTACTATGCACGATGATCTAACGTCAGGACACCTTGGGTTCAGTCGCACCCTGCGTCGAGTGCAGCAGTGTTTTTACTGGCCTCGAATGCGAGATTTTACGAAACAATACGTCTCGAGCTGCGAGAACTGCCAGCGTCGCAAACGACCTACCAGTGCACCACACGGCCTTCTTCACCCCGTAGAATCACCTACTACGCCTTTCGAGCAAGTGGGCATCGACCTATCGGGGCCGTTTCCGCGATCTTCGAACAACAACCGCTGCATAATAGTGTGCGTCCACCACCTTACCAGATACGCCGAAACCGCTGCGATACCATCTTCTACAGCTGATGGCGTCGCTGCCTTTTTGTTACGCTCCGTTGTTCTTCGCCATGGTCTACCTCAAGTAATCATCAGTGACCGTGGCCGTCAATTCATCGCGGACGCTGTGGAAGAATTGCTTCGCCTCTGCACTTCACAGTTAAGCCATTCGACATCATACCATCCCCA